CATTAACTATGAAGAAGGTAGGATGTTGGCAAGGCACCTGAGTTGTCACCCATTGATAGTGTCCTGAGAAAAGCTCGGGTAATGTCAGTGTGTGTTTTTGCGGTAACTGCCGCTGTGTTCTGATGAGTGTCCACATGGTTCACTGCGATTTGGCATCAATGTTCTGCGGGACGGCTCGGTTGTTACTAGCGCAGCCTGAATCTCCACATAGTGACTGTACATCTGAGGCGAAATCTGCGAGCTCCATGCTAATTAGTCTACTGTTCCTCTCTCCTGCTAAGCACGTGGCAATTGAACTTGCCATACTACGCTCCTGTTTCTTTCAATTTTTAGATGACAACTAGATTTGCCTATCTTTTCGGTCGATCTCGCTTTCTCCCCGGTCTCCACCGTTTCCTATCTTCTTCACTGTTATCCCTCGATCAAACTGCCCCTCGCGCCAAGCTCATCCCCTATGCGGACCAAGTATCTTGCATGTCTTCCGTTCTGACAAAATTCGTCACCTACCCTACTGAAGAATTTCACACACTCATAGAACCATTCTTGAAACCGGAGTTTGTGGAAGAGCTTTCCGTTTCAAAGATTACTCGCTTCTCGTTCGATCTTCTTGCCTTAGTATCATCAAGGACTTGCTAGACGTACGATCACTACAAACTGGCACGAATTCTGCTCCTCTCCGCCTTGGGGCAAATTTTGTTCCTCGTTTCTTACTCTACGGGCAGCCCGGTACTGGAATATCGGTCATTTTTTCTCAAGTCGTCCATTTCGCTGCCACAAATGATTGGCTCATTGTACCATTTCCAAACGCTGAAACGTGGCTAGAGCGATGCGAAGATCTGACACACAGTAACGAACTCCATCAAGAACAGTATAAAACCGCAGACGGAGAGTCCTTTGATTTTCCAAGTCGTTCAGCTAATTGGCTTCGTGGCTTTCTCAGTCTTAATAAGGGTTTCTTGGAAAAGGTACGTTATTTGTATCCACTACGTTATCCAGCGTTGTGTACCGTGCCCCAATCAAGTCACTTCTAATTTACCTAGGCTTGTTAGTCTACCGCACTGGTGTGACCCACATTTGGAGCTGGCTTACAGTTCGCCATCCCCGGTTCCACTTAATCGCTTGTAGTCTGAGTGAAGATTCTGTCGCCTTCTGTTTAGGCCTCTCTGGCAATCTCATTTCTGACACAATATGACGTTTTTGTTGCACAACATCCGGGCTGGTAGCTCGTAGGAACCTTGTCCATCTGCCTTTACTGGTGGACTCAGCTGGCGTGTCTGTGCTGCGTCTTTTGTCCTTCACTCATCGTATTGCAAGCACAATGAGCTGAGTTGTTTCCCACCTCACGCAGGTAAAGCTCTATGTGACCAGCTAGGGTTCTCAAGCCTAGGTAATTACCCCCAAAAAGGGATAAAAGATCGAAATTGTTATCCAGAGAAGGGGCCGTAAATATGAAGTACGAGGATTGCCTGGTCATTAATCTGTCGCCAAACAAATTAACTATCAAGCTCATCGGTATCAAGCATATAACTATCTAACCACTATTGATTAGCCATCAGTGACTAATAATTTGCGAGTGGTCAGTAAACTGGACCACCTCAGGTATTAAATCCTGTTATACTCTGAAATACGATTACAGGCCTGCAATGCAGTGCAATTAGATGGCAGTTCGATCGGCTAGCTCGTCGATCGTTGTTTTTTTGTATCGTGTTGTCGTTCGCCGGGTCGTATTGCAGAGTTGAGTAAAACTAAGGTAGGTCAGCTGATCAGGTAAAGGAACAAGCGAATGTTTACAAAGCAGAAGGGATAACACAGGCGATTCGCATTCGGGACGTATCAGTACGGATTGGCGATGGAAACTGTCATCCAGGAAGGACTTCGAGGGATAGTTGGAACAACTAAGATACTACTGAGATGTGTTCATGTTTGACCAGGGATCATACATCAAAGCGAGGAACCGAATGAGCTTGAAGCACAGGGCACTCCGATGTGCATTAGCCAAAGCCCGCACCATACTAATACTATAATATTGCTGCAAGTAAGCAAATATCAACCGTCTCATTGACCGTACGTCCCCTTCTTGGTTAGTCAAAATAGTGCTCAAACACACAGATGGTTCTCCTTATTTAAATGATAAACGCGGATTGCACAGTAGTATGCATTTTACGTAATTTTAAAGCGAAACTACGATGTGTAATTGACTTTTCTAGCTAGAGTTTTTGATGGGAATTGTTTTCTAATGAACCGGCTTTGTGGGCGAACAACCTCAATAAGGTTGAGAACCAATGCTGTATAATGATGACAATGATGGTGCTGGCCTGGAGTCATACTATCGAATTGCGTGTGTAGTCTTTTTCTACTCCGTTTTGTTCTGCACACTTCATCAGCAGTTGCCATAGGACCACTGTTAGGTGGATGCAGTTGACTGCTCGCGTTGTTTGCAATAAGGATTGACGGTAACTGGGCAAAAAAGCAAGCCTTGAGCAGCGGTACGCCACCTTTTCATACCGACGCTTTGCTGTCATGGAACCGTCAATAGTCACGCCCGGGGGGGGGACACTGCGGCGTCTACCGCACGTACGCAAATTCGAACCTGTGACCCTCGGATTATAAGGCAGATTACTTAACCTACTAACCACCAACTGATATTGATGCTACTGACCAAGTACTTGGGAACAAGGTAACGAATGCAGTAGCGCTACTAATTGCTCATCTGCACCGCGCCGCTGACCAAGCCGATCCAAAGTTCCCCAACCTGAAAGATGACTCGCCCCAGCCCGATTAACTCTTTCATTCAATTTTTCTCACCTTTTTTGCAACATCATCGGCTGACCACCAGCACACTATGCCCAAACACTAGCCGTTTTTGGAACGTTGGGATAGATAACCGGTATGTAGATGGATAATGTGATCTTGCTATCATGAGTGCTTGGAACTCAGCACACGTCTCAGTGAGGTACCGAGTATCGTACATGAATATTATTAATAAGTAACGTTGTGGTCTTAACAGCTTCGGGCAGTTGTCAGTTAACGGTAGGATCCTCAAGTAAATCCTGTCTACGTCGCACTGTAACACATTCATTTTGCTACTGTATAACACAAGTCATTAGGTTTTCACTCCTTTTTCTGGGCTTTTAGCACGTGTCGTTATTGTTTAGTTAATATCCCGCTTTCCACCTGCTATACACATTCACGCAGAAGTTTAAGTACTTTCCTGTTCACGTCCTTTGCGGGTCTGTCGAACTTTCTTCATTCTTTGGCGGATCATCGACTATTTTCCACTAGCTCACGATTTTTCCTCGCGTGTGCAGATGCTGACTACTTCAGGTCGTTAGCATTAGAGCTCTCATACTATGAGTCCTTTATGAATCAGTCAGTTGGCGGCATCAGGTTCCCGATTTGTCTGCCACTGTGGCTGAGCCTGTTCGACGCCTTGTTTATGGCGCAGGAAGAAGAAGCGAACCACTCAGCACCGTTATTTCACGCATCAAGCTCCGACGGCTGGACCATGTGTTGCGCAAGCCAGCCCACCGACTCCCGCGACGGGCGTAGTTTGCGCGTCGCAGATGCGGATGGAAGAGGAGGATTTGCCTAGCGATGACTTGGTCAAGGCCCTTACTCCGAAGTTGGTCTCGGTTGGAGCCTCTCGGCTCTCTAGTTTGGGACCGAAGGACGATGAACACGTTTGGCTGGATACACTTGTTGACATACCTAGGAACCGATCTCAATGGCGTTTGTGTTGTGATTTTCTTTTCCCTCCCGCATAGCCTCCCCCTCCAACCACGATTTCATTTTTGGCCTAGTTTAACCTTTTATGTTTAACAATAGCCGACTGTTAGCTCTCCGGAACGATGCCTGTCAGTCACTGGTGACTCAGGCGGCTTGCCTGTTTCATGTTTTTTCCTTTCTATTATATTGCGGCACAACAGCTGAGGTGTTTTCCACCTGCAGATAACTTGTGTACTAATACAATGTTGTTATTGTGGACTCCACTGGGACAACCACAGGAGGCCTGCGCCCATAAGGAACACCATGGGTGGCTTGCACTGCACCACCCACAGCTCCAACCACACACCCCATATCCAGTGTAAACCCGAAGGAATAAGACCGGGAAGCATGCGGATGTGAACCACGTTTCATCAACGGAGCCGGCCCACACTCCTTCACAGCAAACACAAGCACACTGTATTTGGGGAATCAAGCGCACACAAGGCGGTGGCTGGACCGTAGTCCGCTCCACACTGAGTGCATGGAACCACTCTTCGAGCCTAACACGGCCACAAGGACCGTGCACCCTGTCCCCTCCAGCAACGACCAACTGTCTCCTGGAGCCAGTATGGACGAGGTAGTGGGTAATAGACAGGTAGGCACCTTGTCAACATGCACATCAAGCGCAGCTACACCGGGGATATCAAACAACAGCCAATCACTTGAGAGAGGGAGAGAGAAAGAAAAAGAGAAAAACTCGATTAATGCATAAGGAAACGGTGACATAAACCTTAAGTAAATAGCATACGTAATAAGTTGTTTACAAACAAATCCTAGCTAAGTGCACGAGGTCAGGAAGTATAGTTCACGGTATGCCACGAACACAAAAATGTTATGGAAATCGAATACAATTGGCTGAAGCGATGTGTGCAAGTTAATGGTATAGAGTACAGGGATATATATATATATATATATATATATATATATATATAGTCGCCTGCTAAGTAGACATGGAGCCTAACAGAACCATAGAAATCAGCAGATGACAGGTAGAGTCATCGCAGCAAAATTGTAGTGTTTATAAATTCTTCACATTTTTCTTGTAACTTCCTATTCCATCTTCCGTCGATTTTTGTATATTTGTGTTAACTCACAACAAGATATATACTCTTCTTCGCATTTCGTTCGTCTTCTGGTTTCGGTGACGTTGTGCCGCCTTCGAGTGTTGTGTGTGCTTCGCGTCGGTTGTCGGACCTCTATTTACGATCAGCGTTCTATTACTCCGTTCGTGTCGTCGGACAGGTTTTTTTTCGAAGAAGAGTATATATCTTGTTGTGAGTTAAAACAAATGTACAAAAATTGACGGAAGATAGAATAGGAAGTTACAAGGAAAAATGTGAAGAATTTATAAACACTACAACGTCATCACTGCGTATTACCTGAAACAGCAACGCACTTAAACTGTTGTGCTGCAAAAGGAACTAACCTTATTGTTTTTTCATGCCACTTTTGTTTTAGTTGTTGGGCGTCGAATGTCTGAATCTAACGATGTGCACATATCTTCCACTAGTTTCGATTTCCCGCCCATATCCTGAATTGTTTCCAGCCATCGACACTTATTGTCCTTAGCTCCCTAACCAGGCGGGGATGATCCATACGCCTTCAGCAAGACGTGAAGTCTGTGATTTCATATGTTGTCGCCGGCTGGATAGTTGACTACCGCGTGAACTCTTCCATTCTATTTTCGAACGAGCGAATGGAGCACGATAGCGCAACCGCTCAGCTGACTTACGCATTACGTGACCGAGCCATTCTAACTGGCGCGGTGAAACTAGCTTGTTGAAGGGAAAACTCGCATTCTTTAAGAAACGACGAATGACCTCACCGTATTAGATACCTTGTTGTCATCGGTGCATCAGTCAGATTCAAACTTGATTACTCAGTTGATCTTTCGTCTCACCATGGTCGAAAGTGTCCTTGCTAATGTGGTTTATCTTTCATCAGGTGCATGTAATTGAATGCACTTAATGCAATTCCATCTCTCTACCTTAGTTTTGTCATATGGCACGCAGTGATGCTGGGGTATTTGCGTGATATGTGGTTTAAACCGCTTGATAAACGTCACTCATTGTTCAATGTGGACCAAGTTCCATACCCATAGTACCAGAATGCCGGATACCTGTGGAACTCTCATCAAGAAAAGTGGCACTCCACCTCATGCGCGAATTTTTCGGGGCGTTACGTGAAGCACGTTTGATGCGTCATCTTTAGGGATATTCTGTTTCTCCCATCTTTGTCTATCACTGTTTCATTTGATTCCGCAGCATCTGCACTGCATGTGCCTCCCACACATTTGCGGCCCACTATTCGTTGAATGCAAGGTCGATTTTTGAGTGCTACTACTTTTGGGTTAGTTTACTAATCCGTAAAAAGGCTAGTGCATAGAACTGCACAAACGGTCATATTTCCTATTAATTCATATTATTATAGATGCGTCAGCAGTACGCCGGCACATCGTACAGACGCTTCGCCGACACTCGACCACTACCGGTCGCATGAGGACTGGGTATACTGTGAGGTCGCCCGCACTCATGCTGTTTCGAATTTGCGACCCAAGGGTTACAAGCCAGGTATGCAATCCTTTTGGCCACCGGTCGACATTCCGCTCGTGGTTTAACCAACTATGGGACACAAAGCTTCTGATTCGGGCGAACTGAAGTCTTTTTGGCTTATTTCTTGACCCCTCTTTGTTTCATCGTTTTATGGAAATTGTTATGATCCTGATTGATGGGGCGTAGAGCCGTTAGAACAAAGACTTCACCGCACTGAACAGTGTATTGACCAGATCTCAAATCATGTGTTACACGCAAGGCAGCCGACAATATAGATTAAAATGAGTGGGCGTGTCAGACAAGCCCCCTCTCATGCTTGTCGGCCTCATACATATGAAGCATAGTAGATCAGAGCAGCGCGCGGCGCGGCGACACTTTACTTTTAAGGCACACACGTCCGGCGGGAGCACCGTGTGACCAATACTGAGGTCCGGCAGTTAGTTTTCGGCCAGGAACTTTCTGATGCTTCACTCGAGTTTTTGCTGAATCTGAACGGCATACGTTAGCTGAGCCATGTCCTCCGTATGCTCATTGACCGGCTACCTGAGCGTGCATTCTACGCCATGGCTGCATCAACTTGGGCGAAAACGCGAGGTGGCCATTCCGTGGCATGGAATACTGGCATGAAGAAATTGACCACGAGACTTGGTCAGGCTGGCGCGTGCCGTTTTCGTGAATGGGGGCCTCGGGATGGTCCACGCGAGTGATTGGAGACCATATCAGACATGGCGCAATCATGCAGTCAGTTGCGTCCCTGCATTCGGTTTCTTGCATCTGGTTGTTAATTTTCGTTCCATTCAGGCATTTTCTACTTATTTCCATTTTCTTTTGATTCTATTTGGCTTTAGCCCCACTATCTTGCCGTTATTTATTGTTATTCTCATGATGCGAGTCATGGCAACTGTGTTGCAATCCAGTGTTAAAAGAATGGGCACATCCCCTGAATCCATGTATTTGACCAAGTTGGGCTACAGGCCTGAAGTTGGACAACCGTACTACGTCAGCCCATGATGCCGAATGCGAACGCTGCTCTGACTATGACGGAGTGTTCAATACAGTGATCGATAGCGGTTGATCGATGATCACTATGGTTGGGGTAGTTAGGATTGGTCTAATCCTAACACCTTCCTCGCAAAGAAAAGTTTTAATGGCATGACATTCTTGAGGGTCTTCTGGATTGTTGCAGTTGCAAGGGAAGTAGGACTGTTGCTGTCCCTTATTTGCAGCACGGAACATTTGCTGTAAGCCATTGTTGATTGCTGCGTCATCTGAAGGCTCTTCGGTATTTTGGCACCTGCCGACTGTAGAGCCAAATGTCGAGTGACTGTCCCGATCATTCGTAATTGCCTGAGGACTGTCGGCTGAAAATTTAATTGTCGAGTGACGGTCTCGATCATGATTAAGTGCCGAATCTCTACTTGGCTGGACAGATAAGTGTCTGCTGAAATCCAGATCATGTGTAACCGAGTGGCTCCAAATTGCTCACGTTCTTTTGACTGTAAAAACACCGTCTTGATCCATCCCAACTCTGTCGCCAAATTGTCACAACCCGGTACTAATACAATGGACACATTGCGAAAATCCATGTATTCGACCAAGTTGGGCTACAGGCCTGAAGTTGGACAATCGTACTACGTCAGCCCATGATGCCGAATGCGAACACTGCTCTGGCTATGACGGAGTGTTCAATACAGTGATCGATAGCGGTTGATCGATGCTCGCTGCGGTTGGGGCAGTTAGAATTGGTCTTATCCTAGCAAACTGAATCCATCGCGCTTCGGTGCTCGGATCATACTTGTTCAGCTGGACTGTACTGAATTCTCAAGAGACCGGATCACTGGGCGTAACAAAACCCTCTTATATGACACAGCAAACTGAGCATGGGTAAGGCTTGTTGAGATGTTTTATTTTTCCTTCTTCCTCAGCTTTATGATTGAGTTAAGCACAAACAACCTTTTCTCTTCGGATCCTCCTGTGGTGTGCTAAATATGCGCGGTGATTGACTGACAAGTTTAGACTATTTAGACATCGTTATTCTCCCTGGGGCGGACCCATGCAAGCGCCGTCTCCATTGATATGCATTCCGCATCACCAGCATACAGGCCGCTGCCGAACTGAGCTATTCACTCATTTGAGCTGGGATTAGCCAGTCAATTCATTCAGCTTGGTAGTTGTCACTCCTGACGACGAAGTCATTGTAGTTGTTCGTTGCGTGTACTTGGGAGTCTCGGCTTTTGAAAACTTCACTCATTTGCGAAAATGGCGAGTTATCTACTCATGAGTAATTTGTAGTGTGTATGTCATTCAGTGTGGTCAGTCTTACTGCATGTACCGAGGTACTGGCCACTGCACACCGAAGGTGTAAAGGAGAAGACCATTATTTGTCACCGGCATTTTCGAAACACCTATCATATCTGGCGAGATCGCCGAATAGGCAGTGCAGTTTTCCGCTGATCGGACCTTGGCAGCAGACCTCAGGCCACACTCTGTCGTCTGGAAATGAGGACAGTAGTTCATGAAACTATTATATAAAGAAGACACCGCTGAGAAGCAGACGTTAGTGCTATGTCGTGTTCCCACTGCTGTTGAGCGGATGATCTCTGACGTCACACGCAGCGCGCCGACAGCCAGCTTTTGCTAAGAAAGAACCTGAACAGGGTGTTGGATGATTTGATCTCACAATATCCGATCTTAACAGTTACAACAGCCGAACATGCTTTGCATGTATTTTTTGAGGAGATCCGCCAAGACCAGATTCAGTCGCAGCCACCACGCATCCGAGAAGCCGCTGTATAATCCTTTCTCTCTGTTTGGTCATAACCTAGCCAACATGAATTTTTCTAGCTCATTAGACGTTCCAACGAGACACTAAAGGTTTCTTTTTCACTATGGCTCATCTCGTGCTCCCACTAGTTATGAACAATGTTACACGAACACCGTTGATGAAATGCGACCAATCTCTCAGTATCATCATTATGAACCAGCCGTATTTCTGGTCTGTACAGTAACACCGACCTTATCATGGCGTTTTGCACCCTACTGGGAAGTTGGTATCCTTCCGTCTTCATAGCGGACTTAGACTCTTAGAATCCCCACGGCCTCTGTCGGAACATGATGTCACCTGATGTGGCCATCGGAAGTGGTGCAATCGTCAAGGAAAGTGAACGAATCGACTTGTTCAATAGTGGCTGAAACCCGTGCCGCAGTCATACAACGGTACTTTGCACTTTGAAGTTTCAAGGCATGTGCCGAAGCATGCAGCGCACTGTGTCAGCCCATTCAGTAACCCTTGCACTGACACAAGGTTAAACCCAAGGGGAAGAGTGTATCAAGTCACTTTCCTTGGCAACGGAATCAGCAACAATGAGCGCATAGCAGCTTTAGTACATGTATGGCAAAAGCCTTCTTGAATCTGCGACATCTTGAGCGACAGAAACGAATTTCCTTCCGTCTTCAAGGTCGTATTTACAAGGCCATTGTGAGGGCCGTCCTCTTCTAAGGGTGAGACTTAGCCCTTTCAGTCTGAAGCGCTGCGGCACTTTCGTGTCCGATCATCACTGTCTGCGGAGCATTGCTGATGTCGGGTGGTACCGGCGTATACATAATGCTGATGTGCGTGGGCGAGTGGCAGGTAGTGATACTCATGCTAGTTCGTTAGAACAACAAATGACCCTAAATAAATGAATTGGGTTGGCTTGGGCACGTACTACGTGTGTCCAGTCACCGCTTGCCTGATGTAGGGTGGCACAAGGCTCGAGGTGGACAGAAGTTGACTTGGCAGCGGGAAATAAAGTCACTGACGACCAAACTGGTTGCTGTCGGTCCGTCTCGCCTTCCAGACTGGGGTCCACGTGACTCGCCTTGTGCTTGTCCCGAAACTTTACAGGACGTGGCTCGCAACCGACACCCGTGGCGCGCCTGCTGCCGCGTTGTAGTCAGAGTGTCTGTTTAAAGTGTGTTTGATGCTGAGTTATCTGTGGGGTAATGGCTGATTAAGACGCGGGGCAGTGAAAGCCTCAAGGAAGCTGTCTCGGTGATGCTACCTTTTCTTTACACGATAGCCAGCTGTATGTCACGGTATGTTGTTGACACAATGTATAGACGCATTTGACCCTGAATGTTCGCTTAGGGCACTAAGGTTTTCAGGTAAGTCCTCCTCTCCCTCTTATTTTTCTTCATTCTCTGGGTCGATGTAGTTGTATGTTAGCGAATCATCAGTTCAAGTGGCTGATGTAGTGCTGTTGGTGATGATAATCCCATCCCAGCACACAATACTTGTCATTTAGTCACTATAAAATTGGACAGTCATTTGTGGCCAGTTCGATCAAATGCTTCAGGAGGAAAGTACAACTCATGCGAACCCTGCTTGTCGAGGGGAACTCAGAACACAGCTTCCCGTGTCCTCTTTCCCAGCGGAAGTCGCGTATAGAGATTTCAGAATAGGTATGTGTTTCTCTGACAGGTCTTTTAATGGTACGTATCACCATTGCCTAATACAGTCGACATAGTCGAAGGCGTCTTTACTCTCGAGGCGAATCACTGCAGTGGGCCATCTGTATGTGTCTTGAAAACATTTGTCGAATCATAAACATGTGGTCTGTGCAGACTCGACGTGAACAAAAGGCGGCTTGTCTTTACCCAAATGGATTTCCCGCGGGACCAGTAATTCATCGTCGAAGTATGGAAGCAATGAAAATATGCCCAATGCTTCGGTTATTTTCGCGCAGTTCTGGGACCCTTTCTGAAAATACAACTGATGGGTGACAATTCCTATTCCGCTTTCTCCTTAGTGTTGAAAATGGCTGATAGGTCATCCACCAAAGAGTTACTTTCATCTTTTACTTTAGGTGGAGGAAAATCGTCGAGTTCAAAATCCTTGTTTCCTTTCAATATAGCGAATTCATTTTGGGTCTCTTCTCAACTGGTATGCCTGAGGTTTATTTGTCATGTACTACCTATCGCACTATGATACTGCGCTCTCGACCCTTCTGCCGAATATAAAAAAATACCAAACTGGCGCCGGTGGTCATGTACAGCAATATCCTGCCACCTTCGATACTCAGTGGTCGTGTCTCTGTTCCATACATTGGCACTAGCTAAGCCGGCATTGATTGGAATCGACAGAGAAGGGGCTAACATACAACATGGGTCTGGGGTGTCAAGGCGCTGACATTGCATTGGACACAGTGGGACGTTCCAAACTGTTGGTTGGGATGCCAAATACATGAGCATCATCATCATCATACACGTTAGCTAGAGGTGGGAAACACCTCAGCTACTGTGCCGCAAATACAGTGAGCATACCTGGTTGGAAACCCTATCGATCTGGCCCGGAATCGTACCCAATGGCGAACGTGTTAAGGGGCACTTCCCCTGATTTCTCTTGCCTGGGGAACACTCGCCCAACCGCCTCGTATGATTGTATGTTATATACTTCAACTAGTTATCTTTATTAACCTAGCTTGTGTGCTTGGTCCTGTTTTGCGTCGCCTCTCTTTGTCTCGGTATATCGCCTGTCCATCAGTTTCTTGGCATGAGTATCATGCATATACTTTTGTTTACAAAACTTTTCCAGTTCAATCCGACCATCATTCGGGACGTCTTGTGGACAAAGGCGGATGTTGCTAAATCTGGCACTCCCTGGACCGAGATAATCCAGTTCGCGATTGCTCGACCAAAATACTCCACAGATTGCATCGGCATCTTGTTGCGTGAGGTGAGTCAGATCCCCACTTTTTTGCTATCAACTTGTCACCATGGTGCTGCACTGTTGAAGCCATATTAGACGAGGTGTGTGTGTGTGTGTGTGGAGTGTTTGTTAGTGAAACAGGCTTTCCGGTATCTCCAACTTTTGAACATTACTTCATTAGAGAGTGTATTGCTACCCTATCTTGTCCATCTTTCTCTTTATTTCAACCACCATCCCCTTCGTCACCGACGGCAACACATCAGTACTTTACACTAATGCTGCAACACCACACATGCGCAGGTTACTCTAACTGATCTGATTTACGAGGAATAGCAAGATGGATAAGGAAGATGCGTAACGTCTAACCCGAGTGGTGTAAGCAAACGCTTAGGATCAAGGCGCCCACTCATCGTCATCGGCGCGCAACAGAAAGCGTTCTAATCGATCTTATCCCTCCAATATGTTGAAATCATGTGTACTTCAGCCAGGCAACTGGCTTGAAGCGGACGGCGAATGCGCCACTGGTACTGCTTACCAGCCTGGCTGGGTACTGATGAAGTCACGTGAACTCCACCTTAAAAGATGATCTACACCTACAACACCCAGTTCCGTGGCTGTGGGTGTTCTTTTTCGCTTGCACATCTCTGATTGCTCACCACGAGGCGTGCACCATCCAGCACACAGAGTAAACAAAACATGACTCTTCCCAGGAGTCAATGCACGGGCCTGCATAGTTTGTGCTCTGGTAGATATGACAAATTTAACGGATCGTTACCTCCTAACGCTCGCTTTCGTACCCCATTCATCGTTGCTAAAACAATTATTTCACTTGGTACTAAGAACTTTTGGCAGATGACGATAATCAGAGCTCTCAGACCGAAGGGGGCTAGTGTTCACTCCTCACTCATCGACCTTGCATACCATGACTTTCTTTTCGGACACAGCAAGGAAGGATGTTATAGAAGGTTTGGAGAAACAATTGACCGGTTCACTCAGGCCTATGGTGCGAGCGGATGTTTACACAGAGTGCGAATTTGGAAAATGGACTTTCAGACGGACATCTACGGAGGTTATACGGTATTCCCAAAATATGCAAGCTGATCGCTCCACTGCGTCCGATCCTGGGCACCGTTAAATCACCACAGCATTTGATATTTCAATGGATATCTACGAAGTTGGAACCGCTACACAACGCAGTATTGGCTATAGCAATGAAGACTGGTAGCTCAGGTTGTTCAGCTGGCTGTTGAACTGTTCGCTGAGCTTGGTAATTTTGTTGCAAACGTTTCGTCACCAATCGAGGTGACATCATCATTGCGTAGTTGAATGGCGTGCAATAGCGTAGAGTAGCATGGAGGAGCCTCGGTAAGAGTGCGCTGAGCGTGTTGTGCGTGCGTTTTTATACCGCCGTGGTTGGCCGTGGAGCCGAGCAATCCTATTGGTTGGGACTTCGATCCGCGTTCAGCTTGGTTGATGGGCAGATGACCTTTGACCTCGCCTCCTTGTGTTTCGTGGCCTTTGTCTGCTTGCTCCTGCGAGCGAGTTTGCCGTCAGTTCTGTTGGTCTAGTCACACGTTCCACCAGATTCAATCGATCGAGTTGGCGGTCGTTCCTCAGTAGTGTAGCGTATACTGCTTCCAGTTCGATGTGTCGATTGATTGAATGCGTTGTAGAGTACCAAGCTTCCAAAAACTCCCTCGCGTGTTTTGTACTTCCATGGGCTAGGATCTTTACATTCTCCAGATCGAAATGGTGGCGGTGGTGGTGGTTACATGAAGATCAAGAAGGCCATCATTTCGATCTGGAGAACGTAAAGATCCTAGCCCATGGAAGTACAAAACACGCGGATCGAAGTCCCAACCAATAGGATTGCTCGGCTCCACGGCCAACCGCGGCGGTATAAAAACGCACGCACACCACGCTCAGCGCACTCTCACCGAGGCTCTTCTGTGCTACTCTACGCTATTGCACGCCATTCAACTACGCAATGATGATGTCACCTCGATTGGTGACGAAACGTTTGCAACAAAATTGCCATGCTCAGCGAACAGTTCAACAGACAACACAGTATGCACGTAAAAGAAACTTTCCAGTTCATTGAGAGGGTTAAAGAAGTGTACCTCGTCACAGGGTCGTCAGATTAGTTTGTATCTTTGTGAATATGTGAACCAATTGCTGCATCTGCAAGCTCATCACTGCTAAGATAGCCTCAAGTATGGGGATTGACCACTTCTCTCCAGTCACGGCCATGTGCAAAGGGGTCTGAAAATCACCAGTGATCCTGCAACGGCATTTTGCATTTTGCAACTGCATAACATATGGACTTTCTCCGGAAGGTTTACCGGCTGCTTAACAACTGCCCAACGTTAAGATGAGATCGTCCACCTAATTAGGATCATTCAGTTCCTCCCAGGCAGAACTTTTGTACCTGCATCTTCAGACTCCACAAGGAAACATTCCATCGCGGTGTACCGTTTAATAGGCTGAACACGTGAGAATGGGATACCTGTAGTGTCCGAAAGGCACCCGACAGCTTACTGTAGACCATGGCGCAACCGGTATGAATACACAGTCATTCGGATGAGACATACAGCTTCAGCGGGCTGCCTTCTTATCAAACCAAATATAATATTTTCTTCCATCGGTAGTTCACGTTTGTAACGAGATCTTTAGGTACCTTTGAACCGACTTTCGCCTCAGCTGCTTTACAGATTAGCCGCTGGTTTGCGGTTCCATGGGGACAGACTTGCAACTTATCACCGATATTTTCTTCCGCACCTGGGGAAGCCGTTGGCTTGAGGTGTCGTTAGATATAATTACGATGTGCCATCTAAACACCGCGTTGAAATGTAAGTGGTATGTTTCTCGATAAAGCGCAGCAGTCCAAGTCAGTGGTCTGACCAAATAGAATACTGAATACTGTATTATAGAGCAAGTAGAAATTAATTCTGTGCAACTCTTTTGACATATGGTGAAAAACCTTAGAAAATTGTCAGCCGTAAATATCGTTATCGTTCTCACGTAACCTTTAAAATATCTGACTCGCGGTATTGCAGGACTCACAAATGTGACATGTCATCGTAAGTGTGCAATCGTTATCTGAATCGGATAGTGGTAAAATATCAATCTAACAACCTTTTGAACTGCTGCACAGAGGTTGCCTCCATCACATGTTCAGGCAAACTGTTCCAAATATTTGCCACTCTCCGTTCGAAGCACAGTGGGTGGGGAACACGTCTCACATCCGGCACGACAAATTTGTATCTGTGTCTGCGGGTGCTGCATGACCATCGCAACTGCACCATTTTCCTCAGCATGCGGGAAATCACCCAAATATAGAATACGGTAGGACATAATGATGTAGACTCGCAGCCGACGGTAAGACAAATTGTAGAGTCCTAGTTTCGCGCACCGGTTTTCCTACCCCAAGCCACGTAAACTCGGGATGAGTCTAATAGCAACGTGTTGGACCTGTTCGATCATCTGTGCCTCGCCTTGAGCAATTGAAAAGTAGACGGGCGAACCGTACTCTAGCATTGGTCTAATGATGGAAGAGAAGAGACGAGTGTCAACCTCTTTAGACCATGTTCCGAAGCTACGTTTGAGCGCCCAAAGCATGCGCAGTCCGTTCCGATATAGCCTGTTCGTGTTGTCCACGGACTTCAAATCGTAGCGTGAGAGTACACCTAGGTCCTTCACGGAGGGTGTGGGATATAGCGTTTGGCCGTCAAGAGTGTAGGTTCGGCCGTTAGCATTCTTCCCCAGGCTCATAAATACAGACTTGGATGGGTTGACCGACAGAAGAACTTCTGCAGGCCATGTGGATAAGCGGTTGCGATCTTGCTGAAGTAGGCCACAGTCATCGGGAGCGTCGATTTCTCTCCATATCTTCATGTCGTCCGCAAACAAAGCACACGGCGACCGGAGAAGCTGCGGTAGATCGTTGATGTGGATCCGGAACAGAGTGGGCCTCAGCACAGTGCCTTGAGGCACGCCACTTGTAGAGGGATACCAATCAGTTAGATGGTCGTCGACCTGTACCCTCCACTTTCATCCAACCGGTGCAGTGAGCCACCGATAGCGCACATCCTGAGTTTGTGAAGGAGAACCTCATGGCTGACCTTGTCGAACGCTTTACTGAAATCGATGAATATCACGTCGACAGACTTCCTCTTGCTTATTACCTTCAACCACTCATGCCTCGTCACAAGCAAGTTTGTAATGCATGAGCGGCCTGGCATAAAACCATGCTATGCGTGCGTCAGGACCTCTTTTGACTGTAGCAACTGCAGCAATCCCTTCTTCACGATTTTCTCAGCAACCTTTGCCAAAATAGGTATCAGACAAATGGGCCTGTAATTGTCTACTTTGCTAGGGTCGCCGCCTTTCGGGATAGGCTTCACCACCGAACATTTCCAGTCAATCGGCAACGAACCTTCGGACAGCGACCTGTTGAAAAGGTCAGTCACGACAGGAGAGATGATGGTCGAAAGTGACTTGAGAATCAGTAGGTGAAGCCCATCAGGTCCGGCAGGTTTGGTGTCGTCAAGGTTGGCGAGTAGTTGACATACCTCTTCAACGCCGCAATCCAGACTGTCGAGTTCGGTAAAAGTGGTACACGTCGAACTCGGAACAGACACCTGGTCATTTGCAAATACAGAAGCGCAGTGCGCTTCCAACGCGGACGCAGGCTCAGCGCTGGAGGTTATGGGCTGTCCCTCCGGACCATCCAGCACTGGCACATCACCTGCCGGCTTCAGGCGTCGCTTCAATTATGCATAGATTCTCTTTGGGACGCTCTTCGCGGCGATTGCGAGCTACTTTTCGAAATGTCGGTGCGTATTCCTTTTTGCACTGTTGCAGAGGTTCCGCTGACTTTTATACCCTTCGTAGTCATTGGTAGAGCCAGAGAGGAGGAATCTATCCCACAGTCTGTGCTGCCTCCGAGCTAGATTTCCATACTCCTTCTCAAACCAGTGAGGTTTGATCGGTCCAACCTTCCGACATTTCAATGGCACAAATTGGGA